TAAGAATGATGTTCATGTACTCCGGATTGCATATTATCTTCACTGTGTTTACACGTTTTCTTACCCTCCACATATCTGTGTGTAGTGCTCAAGCTCACACTTCTGCTGTGATCTGCACAACTCATACAAATCTTGAGAATATTTTAATCTACTTTGAGGGAGCTAAATTAGTGGCTAAGAACACTGCTGCTCTCAATCTTAAGAAAGACTGCTTAGGTTCAAATCCCAGCTCCTCCAATTCTTAGCTATGTGACATTGGGCAAATTACGAAGTTTCTCTGTATCTCAAAGGGCTGCTGGGAGGATTAAAAAAGATGACTCAGAAGGACACAAAACAGACAAAATATGTACTGGAAAAAATGTCAGCTACTAATCTGCCTCAATATACAATAATGAATCATTAAAGTAGCCCTTCCAAATTAATAGTTTTTTTTTCTTTTTGGCAGCTGGCTGGTACAGGGATTGGATCCTGGACCTAGGTATTAGCGCCACACTCTAACCAACTGAGTTAACTGCCAGGCCCAGATTATTTTTTAAACATGATTTTAGGAATGTGTCAACATGATCATATCTGAAATCAACAGAAATCTGGTAGAATTAAAATGATTTTTTGTTTGTAGGTGGGCCATTATAGTAATCATATTTACCCTAACACTAAAGTAAAGGAAGACTCTTTTTTGGCAGCTGGCCAATACAGAGATGTGAGCCATTGACCTTGGTGTTATAACTAAAGAAAAGGAAAACTTTTTCAGCAACATTCTATACTGAAAATTTTAACTATGATAAATTCATTTTATTATTCTTATATCTGGAACAATATACTGGTATAATTTAAATAATCATGTTTTGGCTTACATTTCAGAATTCACACAGCTTAAATTATATACCATTTTTATTTATAAGACAAACTTGGGCTAAACAACTATATTTTAAACATGCTAATCTTATATACTTGATTAAAATGTGATAAGTTCCAATATACTGGTGTAGAAGAACCATGTAGAAGTCACTGGACTCAGATAAGCAAAGCTGTGACCACCCAAGGGTTTTTCTCTCTTCAGACTAGAAATATATCAAACATCCCTGTATCTTTATTATTAATAACAGATTGATTGATATAATTCACATACCATAAAATTCCATTCTTTTAAAGTGTACAATTCACAAGTTTTTAGTAAATTCACAGTTATACAACTATCACCATTAATTTACAA